GCCCCAAGGAAGTTTCCTTGGGGATTTTTAAGGAAATTCCCGCCATCGTTCCACCTGTCCTCAGGACGTCGCCCAAGGACATTTCCTTTGAACGATGTCAGATAACAAAAAAAAAATAAAAAAAAATCAAATGTGTTTGAGGTCTTCAGCCAATAGGGTGCCGCCACGATCCAGATTCTCAGTTGTAAGGTCTCTCTACCCATGTGCCCGCTCCTCTCCGTGAAACACGGATTCCTTTTGCCCAAGGGACCTCTTGGGCAAAAGGAAGAAATGGCTGGGGAATCCTCGGAGCCCAAGGAATTTCCTTTCGAGTGTTTTCACTTTTTTTTTGCCGACTGCATCCCCGAGGATAGGTGGAACGAACAATTCCTGGGGGACTTTACGTGCCCGAAGAGTGTCGAACCCATAGCCTTTTGAAAAAATACAGCTATAACGAGCGTACGTTGTTTTCGGGTAAGGACGAGTAGTCCTTGAGGGCGAAATCCCACTTGCAAAGAGATTGGATTGAAAACCTGAATCTGGACGTATTTGTGGAGACGTGCAGATCATTGCCAGTGCTCTGCTTTTCGGCATCTCGACATAAGACACTTCCACATTCGGGCGCTCAGCTTAGTGCATTCTTCCGGGCTAGTGGGATCTCGCCCGCACAAGTACGCCTATGGGCCTCACTCCACTACTCAACAGCCCACAGGAATATGGACTGCGGGGTGGACCAGATACGTGTCGAATGTTTAGTAGTGGATCCAGGCCCTAACCTTCTTGCTACTCTGCAGCTTCCACCGCAAAGCAATTACCGAAGAGGTGATTTTTTTTTTTTTCTTTTTTTTTTTTTGGGGAAATTGCATCTGTATCCCATTTAAAGATGGGAATACCCTCTATACCCAGTCCAGCACCCAACTTGCATCTATATCCCCTACTCTTCCCATGTGCCAACTTATACGCATTCCCAGTCCCACAGGCCCTTGGTTGGGGAGCACAAATTTGTACTTAGGGCGAGATCCCACTGGCAAAGAGGAGGATTGTAGTAGGTGTCTGAATGTGGACGTGTTTGTGGACAGGTGCAGAAAATTGTGATCGATCTACTTTTCTGCACCTCTGGGTGGAACACGTCCAGATTCAGACTATTCTTCCAATCCTCTTTGCCAATGGGATCTGGCCGTTATGCCCAGTCACCCGGCAGGCAAAACTGGGTATGCATACAATTTTCAGGGGCATGAGCGTAATTTGAGCATCCCGGTAGTTGGGTATAGCTGCAAATTGGCGGTACCAACCTTGGCCCACCTTTGCGCAGCTCATTTCCCGGGTACAGATGCAAGTTGGGCACCCGGACTGGGTACAGCGGATATTCCGTATTTTAAAATAGGGTACGGTTGCAATTTATCCTTTTTTTTCTTTTTTTTTTTGCAAAGCGGTTATTTCACGCGCGCCATTCTTTCTCCTTTTTTCAATTTTTCTTTTTCGAAGGGCAACGGCCTTCGGGCCTCTCCCCACGGCGCACGGAACGAAAACGAGTGCATCTGCCCACGGAAGGTGGCAATATAAACTCGTTACTATTCATAGCAAACGGATGAACCTGGCCATTTTCTGCGAGAAGATGCACTCATTTGGTTTTTCGTTTCGTGTGCCGTGCGGCGACGGCCTTGAGGTGTGATGTTACTGCGGGGAAGGTGTTAATCACTGATCGCTGATCGAGCTGATGATCTGAAGGCCCCAGATAATTCATAATTATTTTGTTCCTGCTCATCTTATTTTATCTGGATTCGATCTTGGATCTGTACTTCAACAAGTTGATGCGTGTACCAACTGAGCTACTACCGTCGTCCCCCGAATACAACGTACGGTCGTTATAGCTGTGTATTTGAGGCATCTTTCAGTCCAGATACAAGCTATAATGACCGTACGTTGTATCGGGGGAAGAAGGTAGTACCGTCTTCCCCGAGCATAATCACCGTCATTTTGTTTGTACCTGACCTGAAACATAGCTTGTATACAATCATATTAGAGTGCGGAACATAATCACCCTCATTTTGTTTGTACCTGACCTGAAATATAGCTTGTATACATTCATTATCAGAGTGCGTTATGCTCCGGGGAAGACCGTAGGCCCATTCTTTCTGGATCACAATCCATCGCCCGCAGCCTCGTCATCACATCGAACGACTGCACGTGGATCAACAATTGTTTTTATTTTTGAATTTTTCGAGAGAGAAATGTAGGCTGGTTAAGGCTATCAGGCCACCCTGGGCTGAAAAGGCCACCGTTGTCAGATGAGACACAAGATTGAATTTACCTGGGCTGGTTAGTCCGATGATAATACCTCAAGGCCATCGCCCTTTATAAAAAAAAAATAATAATAATAAAAAAAAATGATAATACCTCAAGGACATCGCCCTTCAACAAAAAAAAAAAAAAAAAAGTTTGTTCAACAATTGCGTCGTGCAGCACCAAGATTACCCTCCGTCAAAGAGCCTCGTTGCACCGCACACATCCTGAAGGCATCTGAAGATGGAAATGGTCCAAATACATGCGAAACATTCGATAAGTCGGAATGTATGTGGTCAATAAACAGTCTAGGTGCATGTCGAACGATGTTTAGTGGAGCGCGGCCTAAAATCAGAAGGTAAGAACGGAAGTATGAATCCCCAGCGACGGGGAAACGGAAGCGAGAAAGACTGAGAGAGAGAAGTGAGCAACGAGGGATCCAGGCTCAACCGCGAGGAGACAAGGCAAGAGAGAATGAGAGCCCCTTCCCTCCCCCCGAGGGAGGGGGAGAAAGCGAGAGAGAGAGAGAGAGAGAGAGAGAGAGAGAGAGAGAGAGAGAGAGAGACAAGGCGAATAGAACCTCAGAGCTTACGATCCAGAAGCAAGTGCCGGAGGGGATCAGTCCAGGATCATACGATCCATCGAGCCGATCCATGGAGCCGAGACAACCCAAGAGAGAAAACGAAACATAAAGAGAGAGAGAGAGAGAGGAAGGTCATCAGACGGGAAACACAGAGAAACGCGGTTCCGATCTTTTGAGAGACACACAGAGAGAGAGAGAGAGAGAGAGAGAGAGAGAGAGAGAGAGAGAGAGAGAGAGAGAGAGAGAAGACAAAATTCCGAGATCGCGATCGAGCAGCAATGACGCGCGCTCCACCACCCGCCTGTCATCAACTGCCCTGCCTTACACTGACAATGGTCAGTAAGTTATGAGACAGTGTGCCAGGCACACACACAGAGAGAGAGAGAGAGAGAGAGAGAGAGAGAGAGAGAGAGAGAGAGAGAGAGAGAGAGAGAGAGAGAGAGAGAGAGAGAGAG